CTGAGTAGGGTCCACTGAGGCATGACACTTGGATGGTGAAAATCTTTCATATCCGGCGCAGTAAACTAACGATGTAACTAATGCACTGATGTAATTATTCTGTGAATGAGAAGTTTCATTTGTTATTGCCTAAAAATTCAAAACTCAGTTAGCATAGATTCATGTTGTTTTCTGTCTCAAAAAAATTTTAATTTTGCATCATATATCGTTTTGAGATACATTAAAAGTTTTCATCGTTCATTATCAACTTACAAGCAGACACGTGTCCCAGATATTATATAAATTGAATAACATCTTGGATAGGCTAGAAGCAGTATCCTGCCGTCTAAATTTTTAGCAGGTTTAACCGATGCGCATAAGGATTAGTTTCTTTCTCAGATGCTTTCCCTGAAGAACTTCAGTAATTTTGCTTTCACCTTAATTTTCTCTTGAAAGAAAACACTGCTCATTTTTGCAATGAAAACCACTGATAATGCATAGCATTCATATTGTTGTTTCTTTCTTAGGATTACGGGCGCCTCTCGACACTCGCTACATTGTTTTGAGACAGCTTCTTTTCACTTCGAACACGGTCTCTGTCCATTCTCCTTTACGCTCCATATTATCCTCTTAGAATCGAAATATACGTTGTTGTGCCTATATTTGAAATTTGTGTGCAACAGTTTATTCAAATTAATAGCGAGTTTTGGAGGAAACTATTTTCATTGGTTATTCTGTAATTGCCGAGAGAGTTTGTAACAGATTGTGCTTACATCAAACAAGCTTGCTTCGATTATTCTTGCAGGAATTTGGAAAGTAATATTCTGTTATGAAATACCTTAATATATTTTTGTGACCTTCTTCGATGCTATGTATGAAGGAATGTGTGAGATGCGTTTGATAAAGCTGACTCTCTTGGCTAAGCGGCAAACTATGGTGCAGATATCTCGATTATATAAAAACCTAGCTTTGTTGTGCTTTGGAATCTAGACCATAGCTTACCGGTTGGAAAAGCCTGACACAGCGCAATTGCTACCTGAAAAGTATAGCGGGTACTGAAAATGAAGAATGAGTGCCATTTAGGCAGAAAGAAATTTTCTGAACGAATTGTTCTATTGATTTTGGAGTTCGCCTGTGAAACGTACTTTCGTCTAGGTTGTTTGGCACTCTCGACTCCTCTCAAATGCCGTTGTTTCGTGCAAGGAGAAAGATTACACTTAAAAATGAATGCATAGTGCATTTTATTTCAAACCTAAAGCACAGTCCATAACTTGCTGATCTGAACTATGCAAATGATATTGTCTTGTCTTGATGAATAGTAGGAAAAAGTACCGCTATCCCATTTTCTTGATTGACGGAACTAGTCAGTGAGAATTCAGTAGAGGAGAATACCCTTTACAGCGAGTCCCGCTCTGGTGTTTTCTCAGTTAGGTTATTATATTACACGGTGTGGATACTGCTGTTTGAATGAAAGACAAATCGTGATTATTAAACATTGTGCAACAATGCTGTCAGCAATATATAGCGATTGTTGAACGACAAGAACATATAAAGAATGTCTTTGTCGCTCAACTTTAAATGCCTCCAGCTCGTTAGCTCTGTTGGACAAATTGGGCGGGTATGCACTTGGCACCCCGACCTCTGAGCTGTTCACCTGAAAATCGAAGCACCGTAGACGACTAGAAGCCTACATCTCACACGGATGTACACGATAGCAACAGGTTTATGACGTGTTGGAAAGGAATTTGCCGCGCATATGGCTGAAGTATGGATAATCTGAAAGTACATTAAACATCAGAAATCAGATACGTTGTGCCCTGCAGACTGCGCAAAATAATGACAATGATACGGATTTGGCTAACACATGACTATTCATTTTTGCATAAAACATTTGCGGCATCATCTGAATAGCAGGTGGACGAATTTCACTGGTAATACCCTGATATGCAAGTAAATGAATTTATTCTCCTAATGGGACTGAGCCGATTTCAATGACATCCGTGCTTAAAACGTTGTTTGCCGTTAAAGCTGAGGGCGAGCGACTGGCTATATAATCGAATGACGTAGAAACGTTGACAAACGTAACGTTAACTGATAGTTAGCTGATGAAAATATGAAGTCGGGAAATGATCCATATTATTAGAAGTTAAAGTGGTGTCAGTCAGCCACTATGACATTAGGTTATTCAATGAAACGACGGACCTGGAGAGGGGGAAGCTCATCATTGACGATAATTTGTGAACTCACGTGCTCATCAAAAATTTACATGTAGTTTCGTCCCAATTCAGGTTTTTCTGCAAGATATTGTTTGAACTGAAAAGTTGCTCCAAAACGCAAGAACGACGCTACGAAACATCGCGCTGTATTCCAACAAATGTTAAGCAACCGTGTGTTTTGTCGATGCTGAACGAATGGCCAGCAAACTGTTCATTGTCGCAGCAATGGCGGTTGATCGTTGTGAATGCAATGACTGGGTAGATCGTGGCGACAAGCTGTAAAATCTTGATGCCGTCGCCGACTGCAATGGAATGATTTTATGACTAAAATTTGACATGGAAATGCTCAGATTTATGAAAACCCGAAAATGAACAAATCACCAGGAGTCGCCTTATGGA